CCCAGGGCACTTTTTCAGGGGGCTTAAGGACATGCCCCCCCCTTTCTCCTTCTTGTGCCACAGTAGCCTTTAAGGGCGGACCAAGGTGGAGGGTGGATTGAATGCAGCAACCCCCCAAAGTCACTCCTGCCCCCACTGCCACGCAGGCCACCTGGGAAAGCCTTCTGTGCATGCTCAGAAGCCCCCGGCCCTTCAGAGCCTGTAGGGGCTTCTCCCTCCGAGAGAAGGGAGGGAGAGGGGCACTCAGCCTGCAGGCAGCCACTCCCTTGTGCCCCCCTGGCCTCAACCCTTGCCAGCCCTCTGGGGATCTGGCTGAGGCCCAGGGCCTTGGCAGCAGCCGGAAGCTGTCCAGGCGGCTGCAGCAACTTTTGGGGGCAGCTGAGCCGTGTCCTCCCGGCCTCCCCCGCTGGGTCACCCCCTCCCCTGCCTGGATGGGCAAAGGGGAGCCCACTCCAGCACCAGGAACAGGTGGCACCTGGCTCGGCTCTCCCTCTTTCTATGCAGCCTCTGCAGGGCGGGGCTTCTGCCCTGGAAGACTCACCCCCCAGGTCTGCCTAGCCAGCAGGGCCTGCTCCATCCCAGGGGAGGAAAGCCCCCCTCCCCACCTTCCAGGGTAGCCCACACTCCTTGAGCCCCTCCCTTGCTCAGGGGGAGGACGAGGGGCCCAATCCTGCACCAGCCGCTTCAAAGGGGGGAGGGGGAGGCCAAGGGGCTTAGCCTGGGCGTTGGGCACCATTCATCGTCTTTCAACGAGAGCACATTTTCTCTGAAGAGGGACACACACACACACACACACACCCCTGCAGCAAAGCCCCCAGACAAGGCGGTCTCCTCTGCAGTGGGGTGCAGAGGCAGAGAGAGAGTGGGGGTGCCAGATGGGTCTGGCTATAACCCCCCCCACACACACACACACACAATGCTCCCTGTGGCACTTAGGGGGGAAAGCAGCCCCAGGAAGGGCCCCCAGCCCTCCGATGGGCAGCAATGGGGCCTGTTTCTCCTTATTCCCTGCATGTTTTCCCAAGAATCTCCCTGTTACGTGCCCTGCAGTTCTTAATATTGAATACCTTCCTCAGGAAATCTACACCCAAAAAGACAGAAAGCGGCTCCCTTGCCCACCCCAACCGAGGCACGGAGGTGCAGGAGAGGAATGAGGTGGCAGGTGGAGCCTGGAGCGAAAGTGGGGTGCTCAGCCCCCCCCCCCCGCCGCCAGAACAGCCCCCTCAGGATTAAAGAGGAGTTAACTAAATGGTGTCTGAGGTAAAGGGGTGGTACATCAAGTGGGTAATCGGGGAAACCTTTTGAATTGTTTGAATTGGGATGGAAGTTTTCAAATGATGATTTAAGAATACGCCATGAAATTGCAAACCTGACAGATAAAAGCATGAAGTTTAATGAATAATGAAGATATAAGAATTATTCAAAGTTAAAAGAATTAGGTCAAGAAATGAATAGAAAATATATATAATAAGTTCGAGAAAAGTATTTGAGACAGAAAATATGCAACGTAATGGTAGGATATGAAATTAAATGTGAAAGGTGAATATGTAACTAAGGTCATGTTTGTATGAAAATGTGGAAACCTGGAATCGTGCTGTTCACCAAAAAAGGTGTCTTTGAAATGTGAAAAAATAAAAAACTTTTTACAAAAAAGGGGAAAAAAAAGAACAGCCCCTCGGAGGAGCACCCCCCCAAACCCCCCCCCCCCCCCCCCCCACCTCAGCCAGAGGGCCGGAGACTCACCTGCGGGCTGCCAGCTCCGTATCCGAGGCCGGGGGTGGAGGGTCCAGACATGGGGTGAGGCCCCATCGGGGAGCTGATGACGGAGAAGGGTGGCCCCATGCCGTTGATGGGCGAGTGGAGCTGGCTGGGCGACCCCAAGGAGCCTCCGAGGCTGGGCCCCATGGAGGGGTGGAGGGCAGGTGTGCCCATATGGCTTCCCCGGCCGGTGGGAGAACTTAAGGAGGTCGAATTCACCTGGGCGGAAAAATCTGTCAAGCAAAGAAAGGAAGCGAGTTGAGAGAGGGGGCCGTTTCCAAGGCTGCCCCCTTCCGACCCCAAAGGAAGGAAGGAAGAGTCCATGACCTGTCAGCAGAGAGGCCAGCTTTTAGAATCGGGGAGACGCTCAGGGCAGCAACGGAGGCCTCAACTGGCTCCCTAATCCACACTGTCACCAGAACAGAGGTGGGATTCAGTCGGTTCGGACCGGTTCTGGAGAACCAGGAGCGGAAATTTTGGGTAGTTCGGAGAACCAGCCAATCCCGCCTCTGACTGGCCCCGCCAACCCCGTCTCTTCTCTGCCTCCCATTGAGTCCCA